TCGTTTGAGTATTTGTAATTTGTTACTTTACACAGCTTCTACCAACAGACTTTATTTTTTTGAAAGTATGTACTTTCAAGTACAAGCTAAAAAAATGGAATTTGCCCTTTTTTTTTTTTTTTTTTTTTTTTTTACAGAGGAAGACAGTTAACTTCAATCAAGGATTTTATGTACTGTAGGTACATATTGTGGACTTAATGCCAATGAAGCACAGACAAAATCATTTTATATTGTGACACTTTTTTGCTGGTGTTAGAATGTGTCATGACATCTTTGACGGTAGGCATGGAACGATGGAAGTCAATCTCATGTTATAGCTTGTGATAAGACTGCAGTTTCGTTGACGTCATCCTCTATATTAAGCAGATGATGTCATGCCAATTCCAAACTTGGCGTGAAAAATAGGGCCATGCTCACTTTTCTCACAAGAGCCTGAATGAAAAGGAAATGGACAAGAAACTGTAAAATATTCAACCCTCTTCCATTAGCTTGGACAGAGCGAGAAAACTGCTCACGCTGTCAATTTCATAACACATTAAAGAACAGAGACAGGAAAAAAAAGAGCACGTGTGCATTAAATTTTGTTTTCAATAAAGATGCATCTTGTATAAATCCTCAGTTCAGCATTCAGTAACACTTTACTTGAAGGGGGTGTTCATAAGACTGTCATGACACCTTTATAATCATGATATGATTCATCATGAATATTAAAGGGCTTTATACATGCTTATGACAGCTGTCATTAAGTGTCATTAGCTCAGTTAAGTCATTTTAAATGTAAATATGCATTTGAGATGTCCTTGCTATGTCAACTTGACAAATAAGTCATAACCTGTTTTAGACTTTGTAATGACAACTTATTACCAAGACAACATAACTTGTCATAAACATGACTGTCATGAGGTAATTATTAGTGAGGTGACATTGTGGCTTCGAAGCATGTATCAAAAATATGATACATCTCGCAGTGAAGGGGAGCTTGATTTGTTTGCCATAATCACATGATCAGTGACTTCCGAAGCTTCGTTTTTTTGCCAATACCCAAGTGATTCAACTAATTGTATAACAGCTTCATTAATATTTAATGATGTTTTAATGACAACTTTAATTTGTATTACTAGTTTAGGTCCAGAAAAATATTTATATTGTTTGTAAACTCTGACACAATTACAAGAATCATGTTTATGACAGATTTATGACAAGTTATGTTGTCTTGGTAATGTCAAGTTGACTAAGACAGTTACAATGTATTAGTTAATGTAAAGTTGTCATAACAAAAACATCTCAAACAATGTCACCTTTGCATTAAACATGACGCAACTTATCTAAGGACGCTTATGCCGAGTTCAGACTGCATGATTTCAGCCCAGATTTTGACTCGTGACAAGTTGAGAAATCGCTGACAAATGGGAACAAGCACTGTGATTTCAGGCATGAGTAACAATCACACAGTCTGAACTATCAAAGATGCAATCTGAGAGAATGGGAGCTAAGTCAGCAATTCAAAATCATGCCGTGTGAAAGGTGTTCTAATTTAAAAAAATAATGGTGATTGTTTACAGCCAATGAGAGAGCAGCATCCACTACTATGGGTATCTGCTGGCCAACGAGAGGTTGGTGGCGAAGTCAAAAGGGCTTCTTTTTGATCTATTTGGAACCACCCATGTCTGTTTGACGTGTCATCTGTGCAATACCAAAACCAGGTCGAAAAAAAAATAAAAAGGTGGTGGAGAAACTATTCCCTTCAAAAGTCAGGTGAGCAATATAAGTACATTTTCTACCCCACTAAAGGCTTCTTTCCCATTGTGTAGGCTAGTTAATAACAAAAGATATACCACTTGACCTTGCGTTGTTCCCATGTCACTTTTTGCGTGTACCTGGTTGGGATATGTAATTTGCGGATCGAGACAAAGTTGTCAGCGATTCTCCTACTGTAAAGTCATGCAGTGTGAAACCCCCTGTCGCTGATCCATCTTGCAGTGTAAGCACAGCAGCGATGGAATACTAGCCCAAATAGTCATGCAGTGTGAAAACATCTGTGACGTGACTACTTTGAAAATCTTGCAGTCTGAACTCGCCTTTTTCCTAGAGATGGGTTGCGGCTGGAAGGGCATGCGCTGCGTAAAAACGAGCTGGAAAAGTTGGCGGTTCACTTCCCCTGTGGGGACCCCGGATTAATAAAGGGACTAAGCCAAAAAGAAAATGAATGAATGAAAAACTCGGCATTAGACAACATAACTATCATGAAGTAATTATATTATCTTTATATAATAATTTTATTATTTTTTATCTTTACTTTTATCAGTGAAACAAACCAATTTTGTTGTCAAAAATGTAGGTTAATGTGTCAATACTATATCAACTAATTGTATAACAGATTCACTAATATTTAATGACATTTTAATGACAATTCAATTTGAACAACTAGCTCAGGTCAAGAAAAATATTAATGATGGTGTTTAAAACTTATGACACAACTACAAGAATCATGTTTATGACAGATTTATGACAAGTTATGTTGTCTTGGTAATGTCAAGTTCACAAAGACAGTTACAATGTATCTGTCAATGTCAAGCTGTTATAAGAAAAATATCTCAAACAATGTCACCTTCGCATTAAACATGACGCAACTTATCAAAGGACACTTATGCTAAGTTCAGACTGCATAATTTTAGCCCAGAGTTTGACTCGCTGACAGGTTTTAAGAAATTGCTGGCATATGCCTGACATCATTCATGTGAGTAACAATCACACAGTGTGAACTATCAGAGACGAGATCTGAGAAAATCGCCAATGAGTCATTGACACCTGTGATATATTTGGCATACTAAATATCTGGACCTGTCGGCGATTCAAAATCATGCCGCGTGAAATGTATTATGATTGAAAATCTGGTGTTCTGGTTGTTTCCATGTCACTTCTCACATGTACTTAGTTATGAGAGTAGTAGTTTGCGGACTGAGACAAAGTTGTCGGCGATTCTCCAATTGCAAAGTCATGCAGTGTGAACCCCCCTGTCGCCAATCCATCTTGCAGAATAAACACAGCAGCAATGAAATGCTAGCCCAGATAGTCATGCAGTGTGAAAACATCTGTGATGCGATTACTTTGAAAATTGCGCAGTCTAAATTCAGCATAAGACAACAGAACTAGTCATAAATCTGTCACAAACATGTTTGTCATAAAGTAACTATAATATTTTTCTGTTTATTTTTATAAGTAATACAGACTGATTTTGTTGTTAAAAATATAAAAAAAAATGTGTCAATACTGTCAACTAATTGTATAGCAGCTTCGTTATTATTCAATGACGTTTTAATGACAAATTCATTTTGTACCACTTGTTCAGATCCAGAAAAATATTTATGATGGTGTTTAAAACTTATGACACAATTACAAGAATCATGTTTATGATAGATTTATGACAAGTTATGTTGTCTTGGTAATGTCAAGTTGACAAAGACAGCTACAATGTATTTGATAACATCAAGTTTTCATAACAAAAACATCTCAAACAATGTCACCTTTGCTTTTAAATTGACAAAACTTATCGAATGACACTTAAGGGCCCTGTCATACACCTGGCACAATAAGGCGCAAGATGTGTTTGCCGCTATTTGTTGCTATTTTCAGATTTTCACGTTTTGCGCCACGTTGTTTAAATAGCAAATCCATTTGTGACACTTTGTGGACTTATGTGCGCACTGGTCTAAAATATCAGTGTGTTAAGGCGCATTGTTGGCACGTAGCTATTTTGAAGAACTGAAATAGACTGAAATATCATTTATTCTTTGCAGGTAATTAGAACTGAATTAAAAATAGTTTTGAAACAAATCTTTGCATTTAACAAGCGAAATTAAATATGTAAGCTAATGGATGTCTTTAGTGGAATGCAATACAATACAGCTTCCTTATCCATGAAAGTAAAGTTGTAGAGAGTAAAAGTAAAGAGAAAGAGAAAGTAAAGAAGCCAAATGGAGGACGTTTATTCTTCATCCTTGTGCTGCAGATGGTCTGTTTTCTTGCTAGTAAAGTATTCAGTATTTCCACTTAGAAAGTATTCCACGTAAAAAGCATATGCGCCGTGGCCAATTACTCTTAAATGGAATGGGAGAAGACACTCTGACTGGTATGATACAAGATATGCTCATAACACCCATAACTCATTAAAAGCTTAAGTACAAACCTGTTACACCATGTGCCAGGGTGCAGAGCATATTTTTTCATCATTAACCTAGCAAAAGTTGATTCGGACACACTCTTTTGCAACATGTGCTTTAGATTTTGCGCCTAGATCGTTACAATAGAGCCCTTAATAACAGTTATCATAAGCATGCATAACATCTCATTCATATGCATATGAACACCCCCCTCAAGTAAAGTATTTCCCAGAATTTCCGATTTAAGAACAAAGCAACCATATTACTCCCGAGATCAAGGATCCAAGGCTTCTCAAACCTTTAACAATATGGCCAATATCAGTTTGCTAGGAACATTGTGTTAACAAATCAGGAAATTTTTGCCAGCTTTCTGTGTAAAGTTCAGTCAAATACATGTTGTTTCGAGGTTTTTATAAGATTTGTTCAAGCACAGAGGAGTTGATTGGGTTGTAAGGGGAGGGACGCTAAGATGAAGTGGGCCAAACTTGGCAACCATCATAAGACTTCCCGAACATAACGTGGACTCCCCTCATTCATTCAAGAAGTGGGGATACTGGACAAAAATCCAGAGTTTCTTCTTTTCATTCCAGCCACTCTCTCACAAGGCATTTATTTTAGCCTTGAATCAAATAGCTTTATTGCAACGCAGGGGGTACTCCAGTGCAAGCACAAAATAACAGGCAAATGTTATCAATATTGACATTCTCCTTGGCGAACTCCAGGTTGGCTGGGTGAGGTAAGCCTCTGTGGTATGAGAACTGGCAAGTGGTTATCCAACACATCTTTGGGGAATAGCTAACACTAGAGCCAGCAGAGTTGAAGAAAACACAAAAACGCACGCAAAACGTCTGCATGGTTTTAATGGAATTGAAATATGTAGGTTTGCAAGGGAGAATCAGGAACCACACAAAGAGGAATCACTTCATTAAACTGACGATTTTACCACAAGTAGTTCATGGACTGTGTTGAAGGTCTACAAGGGGAAAATGAAAACATTTTGGACAAACTTTAAACGATAGGAAACGTGTATGCTCAAGAACTTTGCGAGGAAGAGCTTTGTTTAAGCACGTTTGTGAGACCTGCGGGAGGAGAGCATAACCTGAAAGACTTTCATGACATGGCAGATGCTCAGAAGTGATCGTATGCCGGGGTAGACATTTGTTTTCTTTGACAGTGCATGAGTCTTTTGGAGTAATGGGTTTCCAAGCCTTCTCTCAGGCAGTCTATCTTTTCATTGAGGCAGATCAGATCGCTACAAACGGCCCACTTCGGAACGCTGGTCAGATCACTGCAAATGGCTCTTCCTGCGCAAATACATAATCTACAATGCACCACATTCTTCATTCAGCTTTTGCCTCACTGAAGTCATTCTTCATTCAACACTTGTCTGTCTAAAGGCCAAACCATTCTGTAACTCCTCCTCTTCTGGGATCTGGTTTCTGCCTCTGACGCTCGTCCTCCATGAACTTCTCGTGCATCTCCTCAACAGAGCCCTCCTTGGACTTCTTATCCTTCTCAGGAAAGATATCCGGAAACTGGAAAGTTTGTTGTTGAGCCTGTAGAAAAAAGAAAAAAAAATAGGTAGAGATTTAAAGGCAAACACCAAAACAACAAGGCAACTTCCTTTAAGCGACAACAACTATGAAGAGATAATACTCGATTACCAAATTCACTTCACTGGGTAGATTACTATGAACGTTTCCTTTTCAATGCTGCACTGTAACATTTCAAAAACCATTCATAATCACCAATCCCAGACCAATGCCAATTTTATTTGAGAGGAATGAAGCCTGATGATGACAGCAGAGAAACAGTAACTGTTTTAGCTACGCAAAACTGGTATATCACATAAAACGGTTTCAAATAAAGAACTATTTCCATCTAATGGAGTCACAAAGAACAAATTACTTGCACCTCAGAAGATAAAAACAAAGTGAATGTGCGGTGGCTTGGGAGGTGCAAAAATGCTCTTTAAGAGTACAGTAACAACGCAGTTCTGTGAGGTAACACGGATTTTGGCTGAGGCATATTTTAGAATGACCAAAACAATTTGAGTGGCCGCCACGGACACGCCCTTTGACGAAAAATCTAAATATTTGCAATTTAACATTGCCAAGGCATTTAGATAACAAAAGCCAATTTTGGTGTTGATAGGATAAAATCCCTAGAAGGAGTTAGTTAAAACACAATGCCTGAAACTGGCAAAAACTGATTTTTTTTTGGTGGAGGAAGTTATCAATATCAAATATTTAAATTTTTAAAAAGTCAGCCCTGTGGTTGAGTTATAAGCCAAAATTCCTTCTGTCAGCAGGTGGCGCTATGACTGTGACTCTATATTGGCATGTAAAGTTTCAGGTAGATCGACATTGTGTGGTTGAGTTATAAGTACTTCCTGTTCCATGGCGAAAGACTAAGGTTTGTCATGACGCCACAAACACGCCCTTGAGCGAAAATTCTAGATCTTCACAAAATATCCTCGCTAGAGCTTTCAGATAACACCACCCAAATTTGATGCTGATACAATAAAATTTGTAGGAGTTTATTACACTGTGAAAGATGTAATTTCCTGTTGCCAGCAGGTGGCGCTAAAACTTTAACTGGATATTGGCATGTAAGCGTTTTCAGGTCAGGACTGTTATCAAACGTGTGAATTTTGAGGCAGATCGGACAATGCATGTCTGAGTTATAACTACTTCCTGTTTTGTGGCAAATCGCCAAAGTTTGAGAAGCCGCCACGGACACGCCCTTCGAGGAAAACTCTAGATTTTCTCAATTTAACATCGCCAAGGCCTTTAGATGACAAAACTCAATTTTGGTGTTGATCCGAAAAAATACAATGCCTGGAAATTGCAAAAACTGCATTTTTTCAGTACAGGAAGTTAAAAATATCTGGATTCCTGTTGGGTTTAAGATTTTGCTCCAAGAGACTTTTTTGTAGAAATTGGCGTGTTTGAGGAGCGTGCCAATATTCATACGTGTGTGTGAATAGTAGCTCGGGGGCCAGTTCGTCAAAAGTGCATTGATGGTGCCGTCGAGTCATTTTGCCACGCTCACATTCAAAACCTATTACAAACGAAAATCTTCGCCACTTCTGGGGCGTATACAAAGTTTTGTCAGTTTTCGGGCATGTATAGACCCTTAAAACCGTGATTCATTCTTTGAAAGAAGAAAAAGAAGAAGAAGAAGAAAAGCAGCAATTCCAATAGGGCCTACTCACCGTTTCGTTGCTCAGTCCCTAATAATAATAATTCCTTACATTTATATAGTGCTTTTCTGGGCACTCAAAGCACTTTAAACATTTTTGAGGGGAATCTCCTCATCCACCACCAGTGTGCAGTAACCACTTAGATGATGCACACCACACACCAGCTGATTTTGCCAATTAGCCAATTATGATATGGGGATGGTTAGGAGGTTGGAACAGAGGCCAGTGAGTAAATTTCCTGGAATTTTAACATCCAGAGAGACAGGACCTCAGTCTCATCCGAAAGATGGCCCTCAATGAGTAGCATAAGCCCCGTCAATGTACTGGAGCGTTAAGACCCACACAGACCACAGGTTGAGTGCCCCCTGCTGGTCTCACTAACACTACTTCTGGCAGCAACCTAGCCTCATCCAGGTACTGACCAGGCGCAGCCTTGCTTAGCTTCAATGGGCAGCCATGTGAGAGATTTAAAGAGAGCTAGCTGCATTCCCATCATGCCCATTTTGTTATCACATGACCTGTTTAAACAAAATCACATGAATGTTTGAAGTGCACACTAGAATGTTTGTTTCCATGCAAAGATTTTAAACATCTCCATTTTTTAAGCACAATTTTAAAATGTTTGTACATCACAATGTTTCTTTACAGAATTTTTTATGCTTTTTTAAACAAAACGCACATAAAAATAATTGAATGGACACAGGGCTAACATGCTGGTGCTGCTTGTCTTATTCTGTATTACAGACCATGACTGTTGTTCCAAAGATAAAGAAACGTGTGGCTACAGCGGAAGGAACTAGGTACTGCAATGATCTATCTCATTTTCACCTGTTCTAAAGAACAAAAAGTGGGTAGCATGGTGGCTCTGTGGTTAGCACTGTTGCCTCACAAGAGGAAGGTCGCCGTTTCAAGTCCTGGCTGACATTTCTGTGTTGAGCATGTTCTCCTTGTGTTTGCGTGAGTTTCCTACGGGTGCTCCATTTTCTCCCACAGTTCAAAGACATGCAGCATAGGTGAATTGGGTAAGCTAAATTGGATGTAGTGTGTGTCAGTGTGTGTGTGTGTGTGTGGTGTGTGTGTGGTGTGTGTGTGGTGTGTGTGTGTGTTTGTGTAAATGTTTGTGTAAATGTTTGTGTAAATGTGAGTGTTTCCCATCCGCAGCATAAAACATATGCTGTAATAGTTGGCGGTTCATTTTGCTGTGGTGACCCCTGATACATAAAGTTTCAGGAAAAAATGAATTAATGAATGACCAAAAAAGTAAAAAAAATCTAAATGAAATGAATGAAAAAAAACTAGTGAAGATAAAATAACTAGATTGGCCTCCAAAGGCTCTTCGGTGGCGTTCCAACCTTACCATCTAGGAATGCGAAACCCCAAACTATAAACACAGTCCAGTCAAGTGAAAGTACAAGAACCAAACCTATTAAAAACAGGACACAGAACTAAAAGGGATGCCAAAAAATTGCTTTTCCTTCACCAGTAGTAAACCCTCATTGAAACAAGAAAAACACATACACACACAATGATTAAAGACCAGCAAGGGGACCCATTCGAATTATAATCCAAGAATGAAGTTCAAATATTTAGATGTTCTAGCTCTGACACAGAGGGGAACCTGATAAACAAGACACCACATGATCGGTGGTTCGAGCCTTGGCTGGGTCAGTTGGCATTTCAGTGTGGAGTTTGCATGTTCTCCCCGTGTTCACGTGGGTTTCCTTCGGGTGCTACGGTTTCCCCCACAGTCCAAAGACATGTGGTACAGGTGAATTAGGGAAGCTAAAATTGTCCATAGTGTATGTGTGTAAATGAGAGTGTATGAGTTTCCCAGTAATGGGTTGCAGCTGAAAGGGCATCCGCTGCGTAAAACATATGCTGGATAAGTTGGCAGTTCTTTCCACTGTGGCGTCCCCAGATTAATAAAGGGACCAAGCCAAAATGAAAATGAAGGAATGAATGATTGCTGGCCAACACACAAGTCAAACACTCAAAAATGATTATTTATTAGTATTTTTGCTGCTTGGTCAGACTACTTGTTTAAAATCGACACAATTTAAGAGTTTCATTTGGGTCGGCTTAATTGCTTTTTGTTCAATCCACCTAAATTTGTAAGATCAATTAAGGTAATGGGCGACACGGTGGCTTAGTGGTTAGCATTGTCACCTCACAGCAAGAAGGTTGCTGGTTCGAGTCCCGGCTGGGTTAGTTGGCATTTCTGTGTGGAGCTTGCATGATCTCCCCGTGTGGGCGTGGGTTTCCTTTAAGTGCTCCAGTTTTCCCCACAGCCAAAGATTCAAGGTATGGGTGAAATTAATAAGCTAAATTGGCCATAATGTATGTGTGTGAATGTGAGAGTGTATGAATGTTTCCCAATGCTGAGTTGCAGCTGGAAGGGCATCTGCTGTGTAAAACCTCATTAACACTATCAGAGACTCGCTGTTCATTTCAACAGTGAGCGACTTTCAGCAACCTCCGTCTACGCGAGCGGCAGCGTCCGTTGGTGACCAGGTGGGTGCGTTGTGCGACCTGACAAAGTGGAGAATTCTTTAACTTTATGCAAATGAAGAGCAACTTTCTTGAGCGACAGCCAATAGGAGCACCAGTAGAGCTCACATGATCCTCTCTCAGCTCGCTCAGAGGTCAAGTCATGTTCTTAGTGATGTAGACCTTCACATACCTGTGTTTGCAGAAGGTCGCAACCCAGAGAGACAGGCAGCTACAAAGTCACTGCTAGTGTGAAGGCAGACAATATAAGCTGGATAAGTTGGTGGTTCATTCCGCTGTGGTGACGCCTGAATTATAAGGGGACTAAGCCGAAGGAAAACTATTGAATGAATGAATAAAGTTTTACACAAACTAAATTTGTGTAGAGACAACATGATGGAATTGTGTGGAACCCACAATTAATTAAGTTTTGCAATCAAGACCAGTGATTTGAGGGCTTAATAACAAATGAGGGCAAGAATGTTGTCAGAAAGGCCAAAGCTAGACAAAAACTCATAAAATATACTTGTACTTTTACCAACTTAGTAGGTTATTTACAATACTAATTACTGCATAAATGGTGCACCTACTAAATTCTTGTGACATGCTATATGTGGAACATTGCTAGTCTTTGCAGCATCAAAAAATGTGTCAGTGTTATTGGGGAAAACTGCAAGGTAAAAAAACACCAAGCTTCTTTTTTTTGTTGTTTTTGAGCAGAGATGCTACAAAAAGACTTAATACAAAGGCACAATGGTCAAACATCCATTATGTATGTTTATAAATAAATTTGTAAGGAACTACTAATTATGTTTGCATGATGGTGACAGGCTAAAAGATGAGTCTTTTTTTTTTTGGTTGTTA